GGAGGAGGAGGAGGGTGTTGGGAAGAGGCCTCTCCCGTGTGCCTAGTGCTTGACTGTGCGCCAGATGCTTTAGGGCAGTGGGGGGTGGAGGGCCCTCGGGCCACATAAGGCCTGCAAAATCGGTGGGTCTGACCCTACCAAGGCACGAGGGGTGAGTGAATTAAATGTTTGACCAAAGATAGCAGGCAACTTTTTAAGCTGATCATTTTGTGTGGCCCTGAGAATGATGTTATAAATATCCAAATGGCCCTTGGCAGAAAAAAGGTTCCCCACCCCTGCTTCAGGGAGATAACCAGCTAAAACAACTGACGGGCCTCCAGCAGACCTTGGTCCAGTGTGAATCTCTCTAGGCTGCTGAAAGGCTCCATCACACTTTTCAGATGACGAGGCCGGCGCCACAGCCACCCAGCGCCCTTCAGCCACTTCTTCATGAAGCCCAAATCAGGCCCCAGGCCCCCGCTCTCGCACCCAGTGCTTTTTCCAGGGCTGGGGAGTGGGGCAGGTGATGCGGAGGGGTCCCAGGCAGGGGCCCGAACGTCAGGCCGCCGCTCCCACAGAGGCTGAGCCGTGAGCAACACAGACTCCGGGCCCTCCGCCTCTGCTTGAACCCTGTCCTGCTTCACCTGGGAAGTCACTTCCCCTGCCTGTGCCTCAGTTTCCTTGTCTGTGAAATGGACTGTTGTCCCTCCAGGGATGGTGGGAGGGTATCTGGCATGCAGCACCTGCCAATAAGCCTTGGCTGGTGTTGGGTCTCCTTCCCGGGGTCCCCCGGCAGGGCTGAGCGCTCTTAACCTGCCCTCTCCTTGACCCTGCAGGAGAAGATGGGGAGCCCCGAGGACGACCTCATTGGGATCCCGTTCCCGGACCACAGCAGTGAGCTCCTGAGCTGCCTCAACGAGCAGCGCCAACTGGGCCACCTGTGCGACCTCACCATCCGGACGCAGGGCCTTGAGTACCGCACCCACCGCGCCGTGCTGGCTGCCTGCAGCCACTACTTCAAGAAGCTCTTCACCGAGGGCGGTGGCGCCGTCATGGGGGCCGGGGGTGGCGGCGGGACAGCCGTGGGGGGAGCAGGGGCAGGCGTGTGCGAGCTGGACTTCGTGGGGCCCGAGGCTCTGGGAGCCCTGCTGGAGTTTGCCTATACAGCCACACTGACCACCAGCAGCGCCAACATGCCGGCCGTGCTGCAGGCCGCCCAGCTGCTGGAGATCCCCTGTGTCATCGCCGCCTGCATGGAGATCCTGCAGGGCAGCGGGCTAGAAGCTCCGAGCCCGGACGAGGACGACTGCGAGCGAGCCCGCCAGTACCTGGAGGCCTTTGCCACGGCCACGGCCTCAGCCTCGGGAGTTCCCAACGGTGGAGACAGCCCTCCACAGGCGCCGCCGCCACCGCCCCCTCGGCCTGTCGCCCGCCGTAGCCGCAAGCCCCGCAAAGCTTTCCTGCAGACCAAGGGGTCCCGGGCGAACCACCTGGTACCTGAGGTGCCCGCAGTACCCACCCATCCGTTGACCTATGAGGAGGAGGAGGTGGCCGGCAGAGTGGGCAGCAGTGGGGGCAGTGGGCTGGGGGACAGTTACAGTCCTCCCACAGGGGCTGCCTCACCCCCCGAGGGGCCCATGAACTATGAGCCCTTTGAAGGAGAAGAAGAGGAGGAGGAGCTGGTGTACCCCCCGGCCTACAGGCTGGCACAGGTCGGGGGGCCCCCGCTCTCCCCAGAGGAGCTGGGCTCGGATGAGGATGCCATCGATCCCGACCTGATGGCCTACCTCAGCTCCCTGCACCAGGACGCCCTGGCGCCCGGCCTGGATGGCCAAGACAAACTGGGAGTGCGCAAGCGCCGCTCCCAGATGCCCCAGGAGTGCCCCGTCTGCCACAAGATCATCCACGGGGCAGGCAAACTGCCCCGCCACATGAGGACCCACACGGGCGAGAAGCCCTTTGCCTGTGAGGTCTGCGGCGTCCGTTTCACCCGGTGAGTATCCGTGGGGCGAGGGTGCAGCAGGGGCCATGCCATGGGGGCGGGAGAAAGGAGTCCTGAGCCCTGAAGTGGGGAAGTGGGTGGTCCTGGGGGGTCGGGGTGAGGGTGGGGGTGGGGTGGGGGTGACCAGAATGAGGAGAGAGGCCGGAATAGGAAGACCAGTCAAGAGGGATGGGTGTGGGGCATGAAAGAGGAGGTGGCTGGGCCCAGCAAGTCAGCAAGGGGTTGCTGGGGCAATAATGGGGGAGCAAATGGTGAGGGTGGGAGTGGGACAAGGTCTGGGGATCTGGCCAGGACCCCACCCTGAACATCCCCCTTTCTCCTCACCCCCGCCTGTGCCAGGAATGACAAGTTGAAGATCCACATGCGGAAGCACACCGGGGAGCGCCCCTACTCGTGCCCACACTGCCCAGCCCGCTTCCTGCACAGCTACGACCTCAAGAACCACATGCACCTGCACACGGGGGACCGGCCCTACGAGTGCCACCTGTGCCACAAGGCTTTCGCCAAGGAGGACCACCTGCAGCGCCACCTCAAGGGCCAGAACTGCCTGGAGGTGCGCACCCGGCGGCGCCGGAAGGACGATGCACCGCCCCACTACCCACCGCCCTCGGCCGCCACGCCGTCCCCCGCGGGCCTCGACCTCTCCAACGGCCACTTGGACACCTTCCGCCTCTCTCTGTCTCGATTCTGGGAGCAGTCGGCCCCCACCGGGCCGCCCGTCTCCACTCCAGGGCCCCCTGATGACGAGGAGGAGGAGGGGGCACCCACCACTCCGCAGGCTGAAGGTGCCATGGAGTCCTCTTAAAGAGGGACGGGCGCCGGCTGGAGCAGCGCACGCGGGGCCGCCCATGCCAAGCAGTGGGAGCCTGCAGGACGGACGGAGCTGGGGTCAGAGCACAGGGCCGCCCTGGCGTCAGAAATCATCCCCTTCTCCCCAGAGCCCTGGTTCCAGTTCCAAGCTGAGAAGGTTTTGGGGCGAAGGCTCCCCAGATTGGGGTGGCCTCCCAAGGAGTGATCCATATGATCTTATGTATATACTTACAGCTCTCTTGTAAAGGTGGGGTCCCTGTCTCCAGCTGTGCCTGGGGAGTAGAAGCAATAATGTATTTCTGATTTATGGGGTCCCTCTTCGGCTATGCGGGTTTCTAGGGGGTGGGGGGCTTGGGACCAAAGCCTTGCCCTGCCCCCATGCCCCTTGGGGCTTTGGCTGTGTCAGGGGGTGAAGGACAGCCCCTCCCTTCCTAGACCCCTCCTTCCTGGTTTCTGTTCCCTTTTCCTGGCCGTGCAAGGGGGGGCGGCAAAAGCAGGGTAGGTGGGGGAAAGCAAGGTAGAAGCTTGAATGACCGACCGGGGGCGTGGGGGCCTGGGCCTGTAAGGAAGGAGCCATCCCAGCCCCCCTCCGCCCAGCTCCCAGCGCTGAAATATTTTTTAATCAATGAAAAGAGACATCTTATTATTCATCCCCATATAAGAAGTTTGAAAAGAGTCAGTACTTCTGGCCACCTGTGCTGATACCCCTTCCTCTACCTACTCCCCAGACAATGGCCTATGTCCCTAACTTTAAACTCCACAAAGAGGAAATAACTGTACATGTATAACAGTTATTTGTTGGACTGACACACACATTTCTTCCACCCGCGGCGGGGAGCCGGTCCCCTTCATGGAGGCCGGCAGAGAGCCCGCTGGGCCCCGGGAGCGGGGAAGGAGTCCATGTCCCCGAACCTTGCCAGCCAGGCTCTGCTGAGGTCGCACCGCCCTCTTCTGTACATAGCCTCTTCTGTTGGTCTTGTCCAGATCTAGTTTCAGATTTTTAACGACCCAATTCCGCCCCCTCCCCTTCCTCGCTGGGTGCTGGACCCCCCTTTGTGGCCTGGGCTCTGCCTTGCACTATAACCCCCACCCCCCACCTCGCGGCCCCTCCCCCTCCTTAAAAGGGGCAGGTTCAGGGGCCCGGTGCTCTCCCTCCCATGCACCCCTATGCCCATTTGCACAGCTGCCCAGGTACCCCCAGTCGTGGGGGGGGGAGGGTCACGGGGAGGAGGGTAGTGGGACCAGTCCCTGAATCTATTTAAAAAGTAATGTTGTAATATATTGGGGTAGGGGGAGGTCGGGTTGCTCTGGGCCTCATCTTAGCATTTCAGGTGATAGGGGAGCCCAAGGTTGGGGAGACCTGGGGCCCATCCCTAGGGAGTGAGGACAGTGTGGCCTCCACCCTCCCTCCTTGCTGCTTCTCCACTCAGTGCCTTAGGGGGGGAGGCAACCCCCCCTCTCCTGTTCCCTTCCCCTCCCCGAGCCCCCCACCTCTGGTGTAAAAGTGACAGGAAGAAATAATAATAATTTAAGATTCACATCGTCCACCTTTGGTTCCTTTATTTGGGGGCAGGTGGGAGGATCAGGAGGTGACGGGGTGGAGAGGCTGGGGAGTGGCTGCTGTGGAGACAGGAACTCGGAGGTGGTCGCTGGGGCTGAGGGCTGGGGAATGCTGGCGATGGGGCCGCCGGCGGGAGCTGCAGCCTGTGCGGCCTCCGTCAAGGTCCCTTCTCATCCAGGTCACTAGTGAGGCAAGGAAGGGCCCCGTCGGTCACCAACATTCTCACAGGGTCATTCCTGTCCCCGTCCCATCTGTTCTGATGGGCCTCTTGTGAGGCACCAGGCCCCCAGGCACATCAGCCCAGGGCTGTGGACATCTGACTTCAGGCTCATGATGACAGACGGGCGGGCAGTGACTTGCCCAAGGTCACATGTCTAGTGAGGCCAGAGCCAGGAAGGACTTGGTGATAATACCTGCTCAGGTGACTCAGCTTTTATATCCCCTGAACTTCTCTTCCCCTTCAACCTCTCCTCTCCACACGGAACGTGCCCGCTGGACATTCCTCCCCAGTGGAGGCTGCCGGCCTCTCAAATCCCACTGGCCAGTGGC